TAAAATATTCTGTGATGTTCAATAGTCACATTTGATGAGTCCAGTCTCCTGGGAATAAGTACCCCTATGGTCCTGAATGTCCAGCAATAAACAAACAAACAAAAAAAAAACTTTAAAACAATCTTTGCTAAATTTTACTTAGAATGTAATTGTTATATTATTGCATAGGCTTTACATTTTATTATTATTATTTATTCTCACCCAACGGCATTTTTTTTCATTGCTTTTTAGAGAGAGTGGAAAAGAGAAGAGATAGTGAGAGAGAGAGAGGCAAACATTGATGTGAGAGAGAAACATTTATTGGTTGCCTCCCAGAAGCACCCCTACCAGGGATTAAATCTACAACTAAGGTATGTGCCCGACCAGGGGTCAAACTTGAAACCTTTCAGTTTAAGGGAGGACACTGCAACCAAATGAGTCACACCAGCTACACAGCAGGCTTATACATTTTTGACTGAGCCTTGTTACATGTGTTGCAAATATTTCCCTATTTTGTAATTGATTGCTTTTGATTGATTTAGTTGAATGATTGATCATGTAACTATCAATTTACTTATATACTTCCTGGCCTTGGTGTCACAATGAAAAGGCAGTCCTAATCCACAAGACATGCACCATTTGTCCATGTGACTTAACTATTGCAGTCATAATGGTAATGAACCTGCGATTAACTTTTTTAAAAGGAGGCATAGATTTTACTTAGTCTTTTCCAAATGTTTAACCAATGTATCAACACAATTCATTGAATGGCTGTTTCTTCACAGACCTAAAATGATAATTCTTCTTTACTCAATTCTACTTGAATCTTTCTGCATTTGCTCTTCTTCACTCTCATTGATCACGTTTATCTCATGTACATCGGGCTTTTCGATCAGTATGGATTGATACTATGCTTTTTTTCTGACCAGGTTAACCTGTTCTTTATTATTTTTAAGTTTAGCAATACCTGCATCCTGTGTTAAAAATAAATTTACTATGTGTATAAGGAAAAATAACACTTAAAATTTCTTGCCTTTCAGAGGTTACTGGTTCTTAACATTTGCATGTCTATCTTGTGATATTTTCCTGTCTCATGTAACATATATTTTTATATATTTTTAAAAGTGTGATTCTAATATGCATGTTATTCTGCAACTTGCTTTCTTCACTGTACCATGTCATTGATATATATATATTTAATTGTAAAAAAGACTTTTTATCAGTTGCGGTAGGCTGGGTTATGCTTCAGTAATGCATAAACCATTCCCAAGTTTCAGTGTTTTAAAACAATAAAGGCTTCTTTTTGGTTCAACTACTTATTTGTTGAAGTTGCCTGGGTCTCTGCTCTGTGTTATCTTTACTCAATTTACTAGAGCAGGTTATAGCAGTTCTAAAGGGGAAGAAAACACAAAGCATTCTCAGGCTTTAGCTCAACAGTGTAGCTCTCATTTCATTGGGCAAATCAAGACTCCTGACCATGAGTAACTTTAAAAGGACAAGAAAGTGTGAAGTGTATACAGTTGTCCCTCGCTATATCATGGTTCACTTATTGCAGCTTCACAGTATCATGTTTATTTTTTAAACTGGTGAGTACCCATATAGAATTTTATATGTTGTTAAAATTATGCAGCTTTAAGAGTATAAAAAGTGTTTAAGAGCATATGAAGTGTTTATAAGAGTGTGGGAAAGGTTAATAAGACAGTGGGAAAGGTTTATAGGAGTGTGGGGAGGGTTTGTGAAGCCTTAAAATATATAAATAATAATATAAATATAACGCCACTACTTCTCAGATTTTCACCTATGGCGGGGGTCTCTGAAATGTAACTCCCTCGATAAATGAGGGATCACTGTACATCCCCAGAAGAGAGAGAAATGTCATGTTTTTGAACCATTCTAATAACTACCACAAAATGTAGTTTAGTCCAGAAACAAATATAACCTCATTTTTCCAGACATTCATCTTTGATGAACATTCAGAGTGTTTACATTTTCCTTTTGATATGCAATATTGTGAGAAATACAGTTTACTATAAGTATCTTTGTGCAAAATATATTTTTAGATTCATATTTTTTGTATTTAAGTTGAATTGTTAAAACTGATATTTCTGGATTAAATAACTTACTGAGTGACTTTCCAGAAAGCTTCAGGCAGGTAGCCCTCCGGTTCATAGGTGCACCCTCCTTTCCTGGCACCCATGACGATGTTAGGTGCTGTCAGTCTTTCATATGCATGGTTTACTTTGGGCTATTAATTGTCACATTGTAGTAAGGTAAGGAGATCCACTCACAGTTTTATTAAAAATTTATATTTCTTATTTTGTGAATCACCTAATGATGCAAGTGCCTAATTTAAAATTAATTTTTAAACATCAATGCATACTGAAATCAAAAACCTAAATCATGGGCTTTGACTTTGACATTGACCTCCACCTCCAGTGACACCGCTTTGGCCTGCACCACACTTCTGTGACCATCTCTGACCTCATGTCCCCACTCCTGTTCTTCCACACCCAATTTCCTCACAGGGAAAAGAGGAAGATGAAACATAAACTCACCGCCCTGCCTAAAGCATGTAAATAATTCCCAAGGAACCTGGAGAAAGATCCAAATACTTTGACTATGTCCCAAGTGGTAAGTTGGGCTGTTACTTCTCTAACTCACTCCTTTCATTTGGATTTTTTCAAGTTCTTAATAAACTAGAAAAGACAAGTTTGCTCAGTTGCCTTGGAGCTATTGCCTGTGCTGTTCTAGTTGGCCAGGCAGCTGGCTCGCAGCACCTCCCGTCCCCTGCTGAGTGGTCACTGTGGCTGGCAGCGCGGCCTCAAGGACAGCCCCAGGCAGTGGGGCCCTGGGCTTCCCTCCTCAGGCTCTCCATAGGGTGTGGCACTACAGTTTCCAGCCCACAATCATCGGAAGCCTTTGTTGATTTATTCTTTTTAGAGTAAAAGTAATTTACTAGAACCTAGGTTTTTATAAGGGCAAAGGCCACGTCTGCCTTCTTCACAGAGGAAGGTCTGTATTTGACACAAGGTAAAAATAAGCACCTGCTGACTAAATGAATCGACGCCGAAGAAAGAACTTCATACACCCTAGGGATGTCGGCTCCCTCGACGGTCACCACGTGTCCCAGTTTGTTCTCTGACCATCATCACGTTGTGTTTCTTTTGTTTTCTTTCGCTGAATAAAATACTCTAATTTTATGTTGTCAAATTTGTTAATTTTCCCTTCATGCTTGGCTAGCACTTCAATTATAAATATTTTATCCTATAATTTTATCTTTAATTCAACAGGAATTAATGTCTTATATGAAGCAGAGATTATTTTTAACCAAATGAATAAGAAATTACCCCTATGCAACCTATTAAGTTGTCATTCATTACCACGCTCATAGAAAATAACACTATTTACTAACACACACATGTGCACATGCTATTTAGGAGAGATTTCCACATTACATAAAGCAATGTTTATTAAAACATAATATGAGGCTATATTACAATGATGATAATTATGATTTCTTCAGTTATGTTTAAAATATTGGCTCATACAGAGTATGCATGAGGTCTGTCCAGAAGGTATCCAGCCATGCAACATGAAAAATAGAGACATTTATTGAAGAAGATACAAGATATGAGAAACACTGTACACAGGACAATGACACCTCAGTCCCCTTTGTAGGCACCTTGGCACCTCACACAGTTCTTCCAATGGCCATCAGCAGCCATGTCATATTTTCCTGAATCTCACTGACAGTCTGAAATCTCTTCCCTTTCAAAGGTGATTTTAGTTTTGGGAAAAGCCAGAAGTCACAGGGCTCCAAATCTGAGCTGTAGTGAGGCTGAGTTACCTGGGTGATTTGATGTTTTGCTAAAAAATCTGTATAAGATGTGATGCATGAGTGGATACATTGTCATGATGAAGCTGCCAATCACCAGTTGCCCATAGGTGGGACCTTCTGAATCATCTAGATAGTTTCCACACAGGAATGTTCAAGCTTAATGCAAAATTTGATGCAGATTCACTGCTCTAATTGCTCAGTCATTTTGAATGTGACGGCCACACAGCGCACGTGCTCACTCAACGGCGTCTACCGCCCCCACTGACTAGTACAGTGAAGTCCTCATTGTTCACACGTGCACATTCCAGTCCGCTCTGTCTTGACTGCCAGGTTACATCGATGTCATACAAACCATTCTTGTTACATTAACAATGACTGGACTTTTTATGGACAAACCTTTTTAATTATTTTTTAAAAGAATTTTTAATTCTTTTTAAATTTTTTTTTAGAATTTCTGGTTTTGTCAAATTTGCTTATACTTTTAAGATATGCTATTCCTCTAATTTTTTGTTTACCAAATTTTTTTTTATGTATAGTTGTTTTGAAATGACAACAGGTAACCAGCTCATAAAAAACCAGAGATCTATCTAGGGTAATAATGTGTTCCCATAATAAATTTATTTACTCATCTTTTTCAAAAGTAATTGCATTTTTGTATTCATTATTTTTATTGTTTATTTTTAAGCCTCTTTAAACATTTGAAACCTACTTCCTTTAGGGTGTGTTTTATATTGCTCTATTTTATGTATTTCTGAGGTCCAAATTCCCCTTTTGGTTGATCCCATGAACTCTCCTTCACACTAGAGTTTCTGCTGAGACAGGCACTTATCAGCGGGTTTTGGCTTCCTCAGGAGCCCTGTGTGTGGGTCCTGGGTGTGGATGCCCAGGGCATGGTCACATTGGCCTTCACAGAAGCCCTGTGGCCTTTCTCTGCATGAGATTAGTTTGTTTTTGTATTTCTAAATAATTTTAGATTTAGAAAAAAGCTGCCAAGTAATGTAAAGTATTTCTAGATACCTTTTACATACCCTAATAGTAAAGTCTTAAGAACCATAATAGAGTTAGTAAAATCAATAAATTAAACATTGTATAGTACTGTCAATTAAACTGTAAATTTTATTCAGATTTCACCAGTTTTTCTATTAACTTGAAATATTAGCTGATTAGCTGATTAGCTGACCATTGCTGATGTGTCTCAGGGAATGGGGAGGCCATGAGGGTCGGGGGAGATGGGGAGGCAGCGGTTGGAGGAGCAGTCAGAACACACACAACATTTATGGCTTAAGTTTGCTGTCTTCCGTGGGCGCAGTCTTGGTGCCCTGAAACAATGACAGTAGAACCATCAGAGATCACCGATCCCAGATCAGAATAAATGCAATAAGGAATGAGATGAAATACAGTGAGTTACCAAAGTGGGACAGAGACACAAAGTGAGCAAATGCTGTTGGAAAAGGGCACTGACAGACTTGCTGGACTCCAGGTTCCCGCAAACTTCAATTTGTAAACAACGCACTACCTGTGAAGAGCAACAAAGTACAGTGCAATCAAATGAGGTGCCTGTATACATAAAGGAAGAACATGGGAATGTGTGTACATGTACTAGCCCATACACAAACACACAAACACTCGCACCAATACCCACACATGAACATTCTAGGTATATACCATATTTTGTGGTGTGATACACTCCCACATACACAGCACACCCACATTTTTGACCCAAACTTTCAGGAAAAAATCTTTTGTTTTAATTTTTTACTTCAATCTATTTACTTATTTATATTTAGAAACAAAACAGATGATCAGATTCCAAGATATTATTTTGCATATGGATATTGCTATTGCTTTCTAGAGTTACACTTTTAACATGTAAGCATAAATAAAAGAATTAAAAACATTTATATAGATATGGAATTAGTACTACCCACAAATAATGTGCATTCTCTTTTTCCCTAAAAAATTTGGGCAAAAATGTGTGCAAAATACAGATAAACAAAGATATAGCATATCTAGATATTTGTTTGAAACTTACAATCCAAAGGTCAGAGATAAGGTATATCTAAATTTCTCTAAAGGGCAATTAGTTTCAAGTTTATGATATATTATAATAAGCCTTTTCTTTTTAGGTTGGGGAAATTCTTCTTTTACTCACATCTACATTAGATCTGAACCAATTTGTCCAAATTCATTGGAAGAGGCATTAATGCGAGATTTATTCCCGTTTTGTACCCTCCAATTGCATTTCCTACCACAAAGACAGTGGAGCAGCTAGGTGACGTGGGGACCCTTCTTGATGGGCTCTTTGGGTGGGGACTGTTGAACCCTGCCCGTCATTCAGCCCTCGGATGAAGAGTCCCAGCCGCCCAGGTAGTGCAGCTGCCCAGTAATTCTGACCCAGTCTTCAGGACAGGAGTTTTGCGTGTGGCCTCAGTCAGGTATCTCTAATGCTTGTACACACTATTTAAACAGATTAGCTTCCAGGGAATTAAGATAATTTTTTTCCTTGTATGTTTAAAGATCCAGATCTAAAAAGAAGAAAGAAAATATAAACTTTCATTCTGACGTATTTACAAAGTGTTTATGTTCTTTTATGTTATTCCTTATCAAACACCTAAGTGTTATTAAATATTGACTCATTTAATGAACCTCTCAGTGGCGTCACACTTCTGTCTGGCACTGAAAGCACCTATGTGTCTCCAGCACAGCTTACATACCACTACCAGGTCCCTAAAACTTGACCTTCTATTGCTGTTTCTTGCAAGTGGCTTTTTCTTTGCTGAAAGACTAACCTCCTATCCTCCCGGTCTCATGTTCAAAGGCTAAATTCCTCCTTGAAGTTCTCAATAAATCACCACACAGCTTCTTATTCTCCACGCTCCCGCATTGCTTTCTAGGTAACTCAGTATCATCCATGATCATAGTTATATTTCTGCACAATGTACTGAAGCAAGGGCTCTTGACAGCGGGAGCTTCATCTTAATCATGTTTGTGTCTTCAGTCCAAACCCAGGGTCACTCAGTGCTGAGAGGAGTCTGAGTCGTTATGGGCTGGACTAAAGGAGGCCAGGGACAGAGGGTTCTGGACACTTGATGGTTGACCCTTGACTCCATCCTTAATGATGAATTGAGGTTGAGATGCTTGAACCCTCTTCCTCCCATTGACATTCCTTTGCCCAGCAGCTGTTCCTCACCACCTCCCAGGGAAAGAGTCTGGCTGACCACGTGATCCACTCAGCTCCTTCCTTGGCTGGACCTCGGGGTGGCCCTGCAAGGAATGCCACGTGGGAAGCTGGTTGGAGCCACTTTGTGTCTTCTCTCTCCCTCCCCCCTTCACACGTTCAGTGGTTAAGGGTGACATGGGACATCAATCTCTCTTTTTTTTCTCTTCTCCAAAATGGCAAAGTGCACAAGAGAAAAATGGTGGAAGTCCAAACTGAAATACCATGTCAAAACAAGATCAATCGTCCCCATCTAAACTATCCAGGTGTTTAAACTTGGACCCGCAGGCTGGGCTGTATGCAGAGGGGAAGCAGACACTCTGCATGAAGCCAGAAAGGACCAGGAAGGTACAGCTGGGCTCAGGGAGAACACAGCAGAAGCTTCCTTGTGGGCTGAAGCCACTGTCTCTCACTTTTCATCCACACTTCCCTAAGTTTTACCCTGCAAACCACTTTCATTATAACTACTCAAGGTGCTTTAAAAAATCTAGAGCCTTTGGGAGGGGGAGATAAAGAGTTCATGAGTCATCATTTTTTAAAAATCACATGACCCAAAGATAATTCTAGTGTCTGAACAGCATTTATGTCTAATCTTCCTCTTGGCACTTTTTAAGAGCAAAGGGCAGGTCTCAGATTGCCTTCAACATTTGTGAGAATATTTTTTCTTTCTCTACCCCAGGTAAGATGGGCATGGACACTTCTAACTCACTACTTCCTGCTTTTTAATTTTTTAATGGAATTCTTTCCATTTCTCAACAATAGAGTAGGTCTATTCATTTGCTTCTCCAGTTTTGGAAACAAACAACGGTGGGAGTGAAGTGATTTCCTGAAGTCATAGTGACAAGGTGACTTTCTTTATTCTTACCCACTCCCATTTCAAAGCGAAGTAAATGGCTCTATCATGTTACTGGTTTTACAAAATCTTTTGGCTAGGATTTAGCGGTTTGTTTCCCATCCCCCACACCCCTAAACTATTTATATGATTAACTGCAAAGAAAATGTAAGACATAGTTTATGTAAATAAACTATGGGAGAGTAATCAACCACTACCCCATTTGTAACATTCTAATCACCCAAAGAAAAGAGCTAGATTTTACTTTTTCCCTGTCCACTGTGCAGTGATTGCTGTGTGGTGTATTGACAATAGTAGCAATAGCATTTGATGGGATAAATGGATGCAATACTGGGAAAGTCCAGGCATTTATTTATATTGTGCACTTGACCTTTTAGACTCTTCAACTACATAAATGCTTCTTTTTTTCTCTGAGACACAGAAACCTTTGTTTAACTTCCCAAGGATTGAACTCTAGGGATACGGAAAATGTTTGTTCTCTTTCCTCTCAATCAGGAGGACAGTGAAACAAAAATCATTTAGGGAACCTGGTCAGTGGGCCAGGGCTCTACATGTCATTGCTCTCGGCCATCCAGTCGAGACAGGTGGCAAGTCAGGGAGCTCTCCCAGAGCCAGGAGTTGGGGCTGCAAGAGACAGGAGGCAAGGGGGATTCTCAAGGAAGTTTATCTGAGCTCCAGTTATATGGCTATGCAAATAAGCACCTTCCTACGTGATTCCTGTGCTAATCATTAACACGTAGGGATACACTGCTGTCCTTCACACCTTGCTCGGTTCAGAGCTCAAGGTGACTGCCACTCGCCTTTGCTTTTTTATCTATCAGTCTTTGCCTAGGGAGTAGCTGTGCCTTTTTCTCTCAGAACCTTTTTGTGTTCCTCTCTACTGAATCTCCTTGGACAGTGAAACTGCTGAAATTACCTCTGCCCAAAATAAACAATGAAAACGAACTAACAAACACGCTGGCAAATTTCTAATGGTGTTGCCTTCTCTGGCTTTGCCCATTTCTGCTCTTTCTCTCACCAATAAGTTACTATAAGAGGATTCATCCCCCCTTGCTGCCCCAACCCCTTTTCTTGACTTCCATCTGTGTTTGCTCCTCTCTTACTGCTAAAGCTTGCCTCTAAATACCATGTTCAGTGACCCCGTTCTCAGTCTCCTGAGTGACAATGTGGTCTATGATGTCTGGGGTAGGTCGTCACAATAACGGAACCCAGCAACTCGGGCTTCCCTCTCCTCCAGTGTGTGTGTGTGATCCCTTCCCACATGCCCACGGTACACGGTCAAGAGTCCATAGATATTTGAAAGGGACTTTCCGAGGGGAGAATGCTCTGTCCTGCTCCTTTTACAACATGAAATAACAACAGACACATAGCCCAGACCAGTCTCCAGGCATGAGACAGCACAGCAAAGAGGCCCGGACTGGCAGCTCTCCTGAGGACCAACCGCATACAGGAGGGAGCAGCAACTGCCCTTCCAGCTCAGCCCAGCCCCAAGGGATGACCCACAGAATCCTGAGCAAGTACAAATGGCTGCTATTTTCAAGTAATCCATTCAGAGCAAGTTGTTTTCCAGGCTAGATAACATCGTTCCTCTTGAACATAATTTCCTTGGCTTAATTTCTTATTTCCTGCTCCTGGTCTTTCTCCTACTTTCTCAGTGAACTTTCTCCCCCTCACTCTCTTTTTAAATTTGTTTCTTTCCAAATGGAGTAAGAAGTTGGGTGTGTTAATGTTAGGGAGGCTGGGCCACAAAATGGAAATACAGAAACTCTCAGGATCCCAGCAGCTCAGCGTTTCTGCCTCTATGTGTAAAAGTGCAAATGACCGTGGACCTTGGGCAGTAGGGAAACCAGTCTTCTTCGTGACCACAGCTTGAATCAGAGGGGTGGTTGTTATTGCTTGACTGCTGTTTACGAGCATCAGACCTTCTTAATACTCTTTTGGAAGAAACCAGAAAGATTTTAATGACACATCTTTAATGTGTCATCTTTGACACTCTATACTGTATCAAGAAACATGAATCATTTGTTTTTTGATTTCCTACATCTATTTTAAATCATTTGTTGCTATTAAATGCAAATGTACACATTGTGCATAATCAAAGGTTATTTATATATCACAGTGAGTCGCTATAGAGCACACCTAATTTCTTATGCAAAATTTTGTGATTATTTATGTGCAATAGTAAAGTCGGGGCTTTGTATATTAAATAAGGATTTAGTGTGGTCATATACAATACTTGACCAATGGGATTTTAATTAAGCAGGAAGAACGTTTCATTCCGCTGAGAATGCTTTTTCATACCTGTGACTTTAGTAAAATTATGGGACACAATTAAATGATATTCTTGCAAATAGCCCTGCCTATATATTTTTTCAGATATGAGTGATGTCATACTCTTTTGTAAGCACAATGTCTTCCTGTTGGTTATTCCCAGTTAGCATTTCTTCCAGACATTATTTTATAAGGTTAGGTTTAAAATACAGAGGGACTAATTTTGTCTGTTCCACATGAAAATATTCCAGATCATTTTAAAGGTATTGAATGCAACATAGCATGCTCAAATCTTTACTATTTCCCTTAGTTCACTAAGTACTGACAAAAGTTTTGCATTATTCTTCCAATAAGAAAACACAGTATTTATTAAACTATATAATAAACAGGTACTTATATTAATTTAAAAATTACTCACTTAGCTTCTCTCTAACATATGCCTGCATGCAGGATAGCAGAATATGCGTTGGCTGGTATGGCATAAGGAGTAGGGAATCCAACCTATTTTTAAAAAGGCACTGAATGATAAGTTTATTAGCTTTTTGTGAGTTATTATGGCACACTTGGGAAAGGCATTTTGAAAGTTTCTTTGAATGCCCTGAATTTAATTCCCTGTACATGAGGTCACTCAAGGAGCACTAGTCTGATGGTATTCTTCATCAGCCAAAATTAATATAAAAGCTCAAAATATATTTTATTTCACCACATCAAGATTCCATGACTGAAAATGTTTCTGAATCTTTCGGACTTCAACATTTGAATGGGTTTGGTTCCCTTTTCTTTTCTCCAGCTAAAGCAAACTTGAAAAAATTAAACAGTACAGACTGCAAGGCTTGGAGCCACTACACACCCTGGTCTTCCCCTGTTGTGCATGACTATTGCTGAGCATGTGATTCCAATTTCCCTTGAATTTCTTACTTGATGGGGCAGCTTATTTCCTTCATGATAGGCCTGGCCTGAATAATTTAATTTCTCCAGAATCAATTTTTATGGCTATTTTTACCTTATGGACTTGTTTTCTTTGTTTCATTTCAGTTGAAACAGTCGGACATCAGAAATGAAGCTTGCATTGGCCGACTGTATAATTTTTTTTCTTGACTCAGATTTGAGAGAGTTTAAGCCAGAAATGCAAACTCTTAGAAAAGCCACCGAGACTTCAGAAGCATTCTACCTTGAGCCCTGAACTAATGACGACCAAGGTGAGTTCTTGATATTTCATCTGAAGCGAAGCCTAAACTAACAGCATGATGTCAAGTATTCTACTAAAAATGTGAACAAGCTTGAACTAGTTTCAATTAAATTATTTTTCACATTTGTAAAGAGCCATTCTACTGATTACTTTACATGCACGGAACCAAAACCCAAATCACTAGAAATTTATAAAAGTTCTTACAACCATACATTTTGGAATTTTTTATTATAAGTTAAATTTCTGATTTTGAGGTATTCATAAGAGAAGTCAAAACATATTTTAGCAGTCACAATGTTCAAACACTCCTGATTACTGCTTTCCCCTCAAGAATAAACAAAACCAACTTATTTATTTTTCTAATGTTCATGTCAGTCTTAACTTAGAATGCCAACTTCAGGGTTCTTTTGCTGTGAAGTTGCAAGGTGGTTTTTAGGCCTCAAAGTGCTGATATTGGCTGAAGCTGCCCACTGCAGCCTAATGTTAATTATTCTAGACTTTGATCCAGAATGCCTGGGCTCAAAGTAGAATCAACACACACAATTCAGCAATCCAGTCTCACTTCCATTTTTTCTCAAGAAATGAGAATATTAACTCAAAGTGGTTGTAATCCATTGTTTCTAAAAGTTTACCATGTACCAAAATGAATATACATTGTGAGGCAAAAATAGAAATAATACTAGTATAGTGAGTTGAGTATCAGAAAAGTCTGTATCCACTGTATCAGAAAAGTCTGAAGTAGAGTTACATCTTTATTAAAATAAAAATGGTATTTCCTTGTGTGATCACATAAAGTTTGACGGTTTCAGTAACAACATACAACATACAGAAGGGGAGCCAATGTCTAGAGACTAAACCACACACACAAAAATGTGCTGCTTGCTTCCTTCTTGCTGTTTGGGTGGGAAAGAAGTACAGATGTAATTATATATGATACTTTGCTCTGTAACCAAGAGTGATCCATTAATCGGTCAATGAAGTAATGAAAGAAGATGGGCTTCACATGAGTTATAAGGAGGGAGACTGCCCTTTTAATTCAATTCTCTTATGTAATTAAAGAGAGATTATGAAAGTTTGTAAGAGAAAACGCCAGGTCCTCAGTGAAACCCATGATCATTAAACTGTTGAGAGTGATGTAAAAATCTAGTCACCATGTAACTTACTCTTGGGGTTGTCATGAATACCCACAGCCTAATATATTTGGCCTAACATATGAGGATCCCAGGAGTCAGGGAACCTTTAAGAGTTTAAACTATTGCCTTCAGAGATGATCATAAGAACATGCCAGCCCTCCTGCTTGAGGGGGTCAGAACCGCTGTGATAAGAATGGCCCTGGGTTGAAACGGCAATGGAAGCAGGTTTGAGTTTGCGTGGCCGTGTTCAGTGCAGGTTCCTCAACCCAGTGGTCCCACAGTTACTGATGCAGCCGATCTGAGTGGTTGGGGAGTATTCACCAAGGCCACGCTGACTCACACCTGGTGGTTGTGAGCCCAGACATATGCGATAGTATCAAAAAAGGCAATAGGAACTTTCTCAGATTCTGTTTATTTCCATTTCAACTGCTATCTTTGATTGCTAAACTTTTAGTATGATTATTATACAACCCAAATTCTATTTTTCTTTTTATTAACCATTTTATCTATTAGTTTTTCTTTAAAATCTCTTGGAATCATTCTCACAGAGCACTGGCACCTCTCCTTGATACAATATTAGAAACATCGATAGCATTATTGTAGGAGAAAAATATTCTGGTTCTGTTCTCTGAGATAAAAATTATGGAACTATTGTAATTTCTTTTCCATTTTATTTCACAGGTTCTTTTGAGTTTTAATTAGCTAAAGACATGGGCTTACACTTTGGGAAGAGAACTTTGACTTACACTTTCTGCATTCATAAACTGTGTTGTTACACGCTGCGACTTTCATTGCTTTGGTGACTAATCCATCAGCCTTTTTCCATGCTGTCAATCACCAATGTCTTTTCTTGAGTGGCATTCACTGCTGACATAAGCAGATTTGCCCAGAAAAACCACTGAATCTACAAAAAGAAAAAAAATTCTTATCCTAAAATGAATGCTATTTTGGTTGTTCGTTTGCCCTGATTGAATACAAAATTTAGCATGTCCTATAAATTACATTTCTCATTTCTAATTTATTTTGCTCATCAAAAGGGAAAACAATTCCTGGGCTCTGAAGAACACTCATTATTTGCAGTCTTTACACTTTTTCAGTGTTCTACATTCATTAGGTTATAACAATGGACCTATTTACTCAAGAGGCATTTATTAAACACCCTCTGAGCAAAACACCACTGAAATGCACATCTAGAAGGATCCTGAGATGCTTAGAGATTTTTCATCTAAAAATGATGTCTTAGAGGTAACTAAGATACCTCTAAGAGGTATCTTTGTGGACCCCTAGAGAACTTTTCATCAAAGTCTTTCATCGTTTAGGAGGACATTTGGAAGGCCAATTGGATGAAGTGACTTTCTGAGAGCCGTACAAATACCTTACCCATTAGAACAAAAGCAGAACCACAAATGCAGGGAGGGACAGAACGCGGAGGATTTGACACAGTATCCTTCCCTTTGTTGTTGTTGTTGTTGACTTGGCTAAGATCTGCCAAGCATTTCTTTCATAATGTTCTCCTGCAGGTCAGCCCATCCCTTATCTCACTGTTGCCATCAAACATGCCCAGCCGTCTGTAACTTGAATTTAATCTATCTCAATGCTTACTCCTCGGGGCTTTTCCGTGATTTTTGATGACTAATTCTAAGGCATCTTAGGAACTCCAATTAACTCCCAGGGTGGAGATGGTGGGATACTTCCTAATTCCGCTTAAGCTTAGCCCTACCTAGAATGTCTTCAGTCTCACCTCTCATCTGTTTATAAGGGCTCAGTTCAGGCTCAGCAACCAGCTCATTTCTCTCATTCTTTTAATGTCTGATAGCATTTAGTATAAACAAGTCACACGGTCAGAGGAAAAAATAACACAGTACTGTGTCCAACAGACCCAATCTAAGATTGCAGCTCTATCATTTTTTAAAAATATATTTTATTGATTATATGATTACAGTTGTCCCATTTTTTCCCCTTTATTTCCCTCCACCATGTACGCCCCTCCCACCATCATTCTCCCAGCTTAGTTCATGTCTGTGGTCATACATATAAGTTCTTTGGCTTCTCCATTTCCCATACTATTCTTAACCTCCTCCTGTCTATTTTGTACCTACCATTTATACTTCTTATACCCTGTAACTTTTCCCCTTTCTCCTTGCTGCTTCTCCCCACTGATAACCCTCCATGTGATCTCTATTTCTGTGAATCTGTTCCTGTTCCAGTTGTTTGCTTAGTTCCTTTTTGTTTTTTAGGTTCAATTATTGATAGCTGTGAGTTTGTTGTCATTTTACTATTCATATCATTACTGGTTTTTTATCTTTTCCTTTTTCTTAGATAAGTTCCTTTAACATTTCATATAATAAGGGCTTGGTGATGATGAACTCCTTTAACTTGACCTTATCTGGGAAGCACTTTATTGGCCTTTGCATTCTAGCTGATAGCTTTTCTGGATAGAGTCATCTTGGATGTAGGTCCTTGCCTTTCATGACTTCAAATACTTATTTTCAGCCCCTTCTTACCTGCAAGTTTTCTTCTGAGAAATCAGCTGCTAGTCCTATGGGAATTCCTTTGTAGGTAACTGTCTCTTTTTCTCTTATGGCTTTTAAGATTCTTGCCTCATCTTTAAACTTAGATAATGTAATTATGATGTGCCTTGATGTGTGCCTCCTTGGGTCCAACTTGTTTGGGACTCTCTGAGCTTCCTGGACTTCCTGAAAGTCTATTTTCTTTGTGAGATTAGAGAAGTTCTCCTTCATTATGTTTCCAAATAAGTTTAAATATCTTGCTTTTCCTCTTCTCCTTTTGATTTGGATGTTGGAATGTTTAAAGTTGTCCTAGAGGTTCCTCAGTCTCTCCTCATTTTTTTTTTTAAAAATTGTTTCTTCATTTCTTTATGGTTGAATGTTTATTTCTTCCTTCTGCTTCAAACCATTCATTTGAGTCCTGGTTTCCTTCCCTCCATTGTTGGTTCCCTGTGCATTTTTCTTTAATTCATTTTTATAGCCTTTACCTTTTCCTCACCTTCACTTTTTCCTCTATTTTGTGACCATACTCAACCATTTCTGTGAGTATCCTGATTACCAGTTTTTTGAACTCTGTATCTGATAGGCCGGCTATCTCTTCATTGCTTAGTTGTATTTTTCCTGGAGCTTTGATCTGTTCTTCCATTTGGGCCATATTTTTGTGTGTCAGCATGCCTGTTACATAGTAAGGGGTGGAGCCTTAGGTGTTCACCAGGGCAGGGCAACCCATGTGGCTCCACTGTGGCACTGTATGTGGGGGAGGGGCTATAGAGGGAACAATGCCACTTACTGAGCTCTCTGCTGGGTTTCAGTCACTTCATCCTCTACCCACAAGTAAAGTGGGCCCTTCTGGTGCTGATTCCCAGGTGAGTTGGTTTGTGTACGTTCTAGGACCCTGTGGGTCTCTTCAACAAACTCTCCTGTGAGGCTGGGAGTTTCTCCTGCTGCCTCAACCCCCACAGGATTTTACAGCCAGAGGTTTTAAGGATTTATTTCACTGCCATGGAATCCTGGGTTGCACAGTCTGTCTCGTTCCCCAGTTGTTCCTTCTGGTTTATCTGCATGAGAATGTGGGACCACCTGCTCCGTCAGCCACCATTTTGCCCACCCTGGTTCACTAGCCGCCACCTTGCCTGTGAGTCCTCTCCACCCAGCTGCCCATCTCTGCCCCTCCTACTGGTCTGGATGAATATTTCCTCTTTAACTCCAAGACTGTCAAACTTCTACATAGTTCAATTTCCTGGCAGTTCTGGTCATTTTTGGTTTTTAAATTTGTTGTTGTTCTTTTTTAGTTGTGCCAGGAGACAAAATATGTCTACCTACACCTCTGTCTTGGCCAAAAGTCTATCATTTTTAACTATATGGCCTGAGGAAAACTACAAACCCTCCTGAGCTTCTCTTTTCATCTGGATTATTGGAATGTAAAAGCTTATTTTAAAAGGTAGACATGAGAACTAAGCAATATAATGTTTAAAAACATCTAAGGTTACCTCCCACCTAGCAGGAACAATGAAAATTAAAAGAATCCTTCATGTTATTACTATCTTGTATCATTAGTTATACTTCTCTTTATACAAATGCATTACCTTCAGACTTGACCCTAAAACTTATAGGTTTATATAAGTTTCAGTATTTTCACTATTGGAATCTGGGGTTAGATATAAAAGATGGTTATTATTTGGTATAGGAATAAAATATTAAATTTCTAATATCTGTAGTTTGATTTAAATTTTTTACTTTCACTATCATTTTTACTGTGAACTGCTTTAGCTCAAGTTTAACTTGGTTGCCCAGCTAAAAAAATATTTTATGGACATATATATTCAGGAGAAATATTAACTACATCATTTTTATTTTCAAATGGTTACAGTGATGAAGACGGCTTAAGTCATAAAGACTGCATTTTAGGTACAGCTCCGACATCCACTGTGACCATGCGGCAGTCTCTGCAGCTTCGGACAACGTGGTGCCAGGACCCAGCCCACCTGCAAGTGAGGAGCAGGTAGGCAGTGCTGGGCACGAGAGGATGTGAGAATTGTCAGCTCTCTGCGAAAGTGTCTGCATCCTGAGCACAGAGAGATCTGAGCCAATGCTGGGAGTCTGTGGGTTTCAGTTTGCTGATGCCAGGAATGTGCATTATATGTCTGTTCCTAAATTTCAGAGCAGAATGAAAAGAAGTGTGTATGTGTGTGTGTGTGTTTTTTTTAATTTTTCAGTTTAGGAATCAGTCAGTGTTGGGACCTTGATTATTATGATGTCTTAAATCTAGTCTTCAGAATAAAGTTTCATTCCTGCCCATATGACTCTTTTCCAGGCCCGCAGCCCCACAGTTTGCCTTTGTCTGCAGGTGAAAGGCTCCTGCAAGCTCCTCTCCACTGTGAGTGCTGAAAAGGCCAGTGTGTACAAAGTGCTGCAGCAATGATTCGAGAAGGTTTTACCTCCTTCCTCAGAAGTAAGGACAGTCCAGTCAACTACATGCTAATCAGACATCTACAATTTTAAAATTTTATTTAAAATATTTGGCAAAAACACTTACCAAGAGTGTAAATAAAGAAAATTTATGGTTTCTACAGCTTGCAAAATGCAAAACAATCTGCTTTTAAACATAATATAGGCTTTAGGATGTAAAAAAACAACAGTAATTTTAACTTGGCCAAGATGTGAAAAAAGAAATACACGTAAAATCTTTTTCTCTCTTTTTCTCTCATTTCTCTTTCAGTTTCATAGTAACCCCACAATGTTGCTATTGTATCATTTTAATAACAAGAACATTACGTCTTGTGGTCTTAGAGATTATTACTGACAAACTTGATATTTCAATTCAATATTCTATTAATAGATTCAATCCCTATACTGCATGGTGATTAATGAGTCTTAAAACTATTTTGTCATTCTTTTGCTAACTAACCATACAACAGTTTTGGTGAAAGTGATGATAAAATGTTTTGACAATGTGTTCTACAAATGTATTATTCTTCACTGTGCTGAGCTGTCCATTCTGTGCTACATGTGCAATGTACGTTTGGTGGTTATGGCATTTCGTATTTCCCTATGTCTGTAAAGGGGGATTATAACTTTATTAGAAGCCTTTTGAATCATACTGAACTTTGCACATTGGTAATTATAACTGTATCATAGACTATTCTGCAGTATCTGCATTTGACTATAAACATGCTAGTAACATCTTTTTAGCATCTTTCCTTACAAATCAGTGCTCAGTTCAAATCACACCTGTATGTGGAAGGAAGCTTCTCATCTTTAGTTTTCTCATCTTATTTTACAAGGCTTATTTTTCCCCATAGTATATGTCACATAACTTATGGTTAATGTCTCATTTAAACTGAGAAAATCTTGAGGGAAAGATCCAGTCTTGCTAATTTTCCC